AAACAATATATTATTTTATATTAAAACCTTTATTTATTATATATATGTTTTCATTAAAATTTATATAAGAAAACAAAAAAAGGCCGAAATAAAGAGTTAGCAAAATGGACAACGTTTTTATACATATTGGATTAACTAATTATTGATAAAACAAGGTAGCAAATACGAAGACAAAGGTGTTATTTGCTCAAGATGAATGATGTTTTGTGAGACTAATTGATACTATAAAGTTAAATACAATTGAAGTTCTGATATAAGAATTATAATTAAAATCTAAAGTGGCATTAATACGATTCTTTTATTTTTAATGAATTGTTGGCTTCTTTTCCCTTTCGAATGAATCATTTGATACCAAATATGTTATTTTTATTTTTATTTCGATTTTGACCTATAATCGATCCAAATGAACCCATAAATGACATACATGGCAATATATCATATACCTAAGTTGATATCATAGAAAACTATATGCTTTTTTCATGAAAGAATGGATTGTTTATCATAGATTACTGAGTGTTATTTTAATGAAGGAATAAATCAATTTTCTACTATATCATATTATTATATCATGTATATCATGTGAATATTATAGTATATTGCAAGCCTTTGCTACTGATTTGATAAACTAAATGCTTGATTATTGTTTATTGAGATATAGAAGCATTGCAATATAACATTTAACATATTGTAATGCTTCTAAATATAACATTTAATACTCTTTTGGTAAATGAGTATAATTCAAAATGAAGCCCAAGTATATAACTAACTTTGGAATTTAGATGGACATAACTTAAGGAGAACAAATGTGCAACTAACCACTTTATGAACGTTAATCAAGTTTGAGTTGTCATTCTTTATAATTAATTAAAGCTAAGTCACCTTTTATCTCGAAAGGAAAAATTATTTATATACAAACTTATTTTTTTAATTTTTTTCCCCATCATTTGAAAAAATTATAAAAATTCTTAGTCTCTCCCATTTCTGGATACATCACTTTACACTATGTATCGGGACGTATATGACATATCAAGACATTGACTGCGGTATCTGAAATAGAGACGCGATATATCGGGAGGTACATGATGTATCGAAATATTGAGTGATGTTTTTAAAATTGAGATGCGATTTATCAGAATGTCAAGGGATGTATCCGAAACCGAACGCGATGTATTGAGACGTTTTGAGATGTATTCGATTCTGGCAAATTAAAGGAATTTTTGTAATTTGAAAAAATAATTGCCGAAAATGACCTGAGTACCATAACACTTGTCGAAAATGACCTCGACATCACAAATACCTACCAAAAATGACCTCGACATAATAACACTTGTTAAAAATGACCTCAACATCATGACCTTCACATGTCTCATCATGTAGTTTAACAATCAATGCACACAAGTAATATCACACCACACAGAAGAGATGACAACAATGTATGCAATCAAGTCCACATTCATGCTATCAAGCATTTCATCAATCAATCATATAAGGGCCATCACAAAGAAATTCACAAGCATTATGATCGACACCTAACTTTTAATTTAATCCATTTTATTCTTGAGCTTAATCAAGTGGAAAAATAAATCTCTCACATCATTCTCATTCTTCCCGACACACAAACAATGAAGGGAATTCACGAATCCTACTAGATTACAAGAATTAGGAGATCACTTGTCTTATTTCAATCAATTATTAGTAACCCAATGAGTCTTCCCCTACCAACCAACGTCCAAAGCCACACAATTTATATAAATCTATTCACAATAAATCGTTGTAAACAACAATACCCACTTCAAATACTTTGAAATATGGGTCGATCAACTAAAAATCCAATTTAATAAAGAAGGTTTGAAGTCAAAATTTAATATTTAAATCATTTCAAAAAAAAACTCAAAATCAGTTCACAATGCCATTCAAGTTTAGAACTTGAATTTTTGAAAAACCTTGTTATTAACCAATCAAAATCCCATTTTTGATGTTAATATCCATAAATAATAAAAGGAAAATAAAGTTTTAGAATCATAAAAGCTTACCCAGATAATTTAGCACAAAAATCACTTCAAAAATTGCCTCGAAGGATTTCCCAAGCTCAAAAGTGAACCCCATGAAAGTGGGGACCTTGGATTTCGTGAACATCGCGATTTTACAACCAATGGTTCGCTTAAGCGAACCTCGCCTAACTGTCTTTCACTTTCACGAACAGGGTCTCACTTCTACGATCCTCGTGATCGCGAAAGCGAAGCACTCTGGTACCAAAAAAACAAGCCAACTCCCAAAATATTGAAAAGACCCTCAAAATTTGTTCGAAACTCCTTATATACAAACACTTATGCAAATCAATTACCCTCGAAGTCCCGAACGCAATTTACCGTTGATACACAGATCATAGGTCTCTTTGACCCGACATATGTGGAAATCACAAGAAACTAACTCTACACCTAAAATGACTAAAACACATCTAGACCTTTAAGGACGTTACCTAGGTCTAAAATTATCCCCCAAACTCAACATAATTCTCTAAATTCTAATTCGATCATCCGAATCCCCAATGTTGATCAAAGTCCGCCCAAAGGCTGAATTTTCAAAATTTCACTACTTAGGACCTCAAATCCTCAGAAGGAATCCAAATCTAAACAAACAACTCACACGGGTGAGATTCCCTATTTCGAGACGGATGGAACCGATGAAATTTCATTTGCTCCCAAAACTTCAAAAGACACCAAAAACTATTCTTTAAATATTATTAGCCTTTTAAACTCAAGTCTTACCAAATTTTTAACTTAAAACCCAAAGTTCAAAACTAATTTTCAAAATTGAATCAAACAGACTAAAAGTCGATATCTTGAGAAGCAAAACGGTAAAGTTTGACAACTTTTCAAAAATAATCTACTAGATCATTACATTTTTACTACTTTCGAACGATTTATCTTAATTTTGTTGGATTAAAGTTTTAGCAACTATTCTTGTGTACCAATTCTTTGAAAGTTTTGTCTTAATAATCTTTGAGTGCCAATTATTTGAGAGTAATGAAGGGATATGAAACAAAATGTATTACTAATGTACCACCAATAGTACTTACAAGTTACAACATATATAATAATAACAATATTAATGATATATGTATTCCTTTTATTTATTTTTTTAGCTTAAAAGATACCTACAGCTTGTTTGCCAGACAAACCAATTACATCAATTGTGGAGAATATACCAAAGCATAAGAGACTATTTAATTATAAGTTGACAATCACTATTTTGTCTAAGCTATAAATTGATAATATCAATTTAGAGAATCTTTCATATAATAATAATATGAAGTGTGTAACTTTTGACTTGACTTCCCAAACACCATTTTTTTATTCTTAATTATTATTCGAAAAATCTTATATACAATTCCAAATTATCTTCATTAAAATTGTGTTTGTACTTCCAAACTTACCAATGACGTAAGTTTTCATATTTATAATTTCGGAGTCTACATGATTGCCTATTTTATTATTCCTCTATTCCTTGATTAATTTTCGAAAAAATTATTTAGATGAGTGTCTTTAATAAATAATTATTAATTTTAGTGATATTTTTTATTTATTACTATTTATAACAATATTATGTTAGATCTGTTATATGTATTAAAAGTGAATCAAGTATGTAATATATATGTATTATAACTATTTTTGATAATGTACTATATTTGTTTGGTAAGAAATTGACATATTCTATTTTTTGCGTTAAAATGTGTGATAAATGTATTATCTATCAATAAAACTTATATTATATGTGAATAATAAATGTTCCTTATAATATGTATTAAAACTGTATTATAAATATATTAAAAGTGCTCAAGTGAAAAAAATATCATTACTAAATATGATAAATATTTTTTATTTATAATATATTTATGTAAGTTTCTCTTAATTATTTTACCTAATAGGCGTTAGGCGTTCGATTACATAATATTCAAAAAAAAAAAGGTTTAATAAAGGTATTTAAACCTACATTAATTAACCTGATCAAAAGTGTGAGTTTTTTAAGTGAAAAAATATCATTTGAAACTACTCAATATCACTTTGTCAAACTTAAAATTCATTTCAAATTCATTTTTCTTTTTAAAGTTCAGTTTCAACCTATAATCAAACATTGTCTTGATTATTTCTTTTAAATAAATAAATAGGAAAAATAATTCATGTCCAAATGGCCCTCAATGATCTTAAATTGATTTATCAAACATATATAAGCTTATCATTAATCTTTTATTTTCCTTACATCGTAATATAAACAATGACTAATTTTTTGAAGCATAGTCAGAATTAATTTTTGTTTCTGCGTTTTGAATGGACATTTTGGACGAATTAAATAATTTTTTAAAACATAATATAAGGTTCAAATTAAACTACTGAATTTTGTTAAATCTGCAATCAACATTATGACTTCATCACTGCTTTAAAGTAAGTGGTCGAGCTAAATGCGATGAAGGGTTTTTTATTGAATTTTCTCGTCGATTCAGTATTATATCGTTACAAATAAGTAAAATAATTTCTTGAATCTATGTGTAACAATTGAATTCTCTCGATAGATAGGTTTATTTAGCCCACAACAACTTCGTATTTTTTAAATCTTCTAATTGAAGATTTATTTTCTTTTTACATATATGAAATACGCGTTCTCTTTTACAAAAGGAAATGAAAAAGAAATTTCCATAAATCTTGTTGTATTATAAAGCTAGTCACATCATGAAGAGAAAATTATTCTTTTTATTATTTGCAAACATATTGTAAAATCTAACCTTTTAAATTAAAGCTAATCCATTTATATCGACAACATGTCCACATTCCCTTTTGCTCAAAGGAATGTAAAGTAAAATTAACTTTATTACTATGAGATACTACTACACTTCATTTCATTTTGGTTTGGTAAAATTATTAATTGGAATACAAATTACAATAAAAATATTATCAGTAGGTTTAGGCTTAGAAATTCATGTGGAAATCTCACATCTAGGATTAGAGAAATTAAGGATTGTATTAATTGTATTGATGTATTAATGAAAAACAATGTTAAGTACATACTCCTTATATAGGAGGAGAATTGTAGAATCATAATTAACTATACTTCGAGTCCTACTACAATACCTATTATTACTATAATAATAATAATAATAATGCAATTATAAATAATCTAAATCCTAGTTGTACTATAATTCTGATAGTAATCTAATCCTAGTCGTAATATAATTCTAATCCTAATATAAGTAGTCTAATCTTAGTGCGACTCTAACTCTACAGTAGTGTTGTAAATTCGTCAGTCAGATTTGTTGGACATGTTCCAATCATCAGCTTCCTTTCTTCATCAACACTTGCTGCAGAAACATCAGTCAGATGCATTGGACATGTTCCTTTGATATGTTCTAATCGTCAACTTCCTTCTTTTTCAACACTTCCCTTCAAGCTAGTGAGTAGATGAACGGTTACTCCTAGCTTGTTTGCTTTGAATATCCAGCACAAAAAAAACTTTGAATACCCAGCAAAACTTGTTTTGTCAATGCTTCGATATATTGATGATGTTGTTTTTGAATATCCAGCAAAAAAAACTTTGAATATCCAACAAAAACTTGTTCTGTCAATGGTTTGGTATGTTATTGTTGTTGTTTCCTCTTCCCCAGCCTTTTTGGGCAGATACTACCATGTAATGGTTTTGTTGTGATACTTTTTCTTCCTCTTCCCTTATATCAAAGCCTGTAAGAGCATTAACAAATTAATTAAGGGTGGGATATGGTGACTTACCTACACCTCTAGCAAAATTAATCGCTTTTGTTACTTGAAGATAAGTTTCTTCCAAGCATTCCCACATCTCCTTGGCAGTTGAGCATCAGTTAAGGTGCTTGAGATTCAACTTCTTAAAAACACATCTTTCTCTTTCCAATCATCAATAGTGTCACTATCTTTTACATCCTTCTTAGCAGCTACAACTTTCCAATAGTTTGTACAGTGGAACAACAACTTTTACTTGGTTCACTCTCTGTGATATGAATCAATTGGGATATATGTGTCCTCTTTATGAGGTAGTAAGTTTAGTGGAGCAAGCGACAATTATTTGGTGAAGTGAGGAGGTTGACATGGTTTTGGTAGAAGGGGTCATTGCAACATGTGATTTTTTTTAATCAATACTCTGAGAACGGAAAGCTTTTAAGCTCTGATACCATGTAGAAATATCACATTTAGGATTAGAGAAATCAAGGAATATATTGATTGTATTGAGGAAAAATAATGTTAAGTACATACTCCTTATATAGGAGAGAATTGTAGAGTCATAAGTTAACAGTACTTAGGTTCCTACTAAAATACCTATTATTACTATAATAATAATAAATCTAAACTCTAGTTGTACTATAATTCTGATAGTAATTTAATCCTAGTCGTAATATAATTCTAATCCTAATATAAGTAGTCTAATTCTAGTGCAACTTTAACTCTACAACAGTGTTATAAACTCGTCAGTCAGCTTCGTTGGACCTGTTTTTTTGATATGTTCCAATCGTCAACATCCTTTCTTCATCAACAACTAAACTTCTTCATCAACAACTAAACTTCCTTCTGCTTCAATAGGAGCATCTCCAGCCTAAAATAGAATATCATTAACCCTTTTCATATTTATTTTTTCTTATGTATCTCTATTTATTTATTATTTTTGGATCATGAGGATTTCTAACATTATATTAGAATTTTAAAAAAGAACTTCTTTTTCATATTTATAAATTTTGTTTTCGAAATAGTTTCAAGATTTATAATCTATCAACAAAGCTTTTGGGAAGCTTAAAGTTTGCTTTTAAATTGTTTAATTTAGAAAGTTGAGATAAGCCCAACGGAATTCATAAAAATCTCACTCAATTTAACCCAAGAACAACATTCATTCGCAAAATCCTGATTATAACAATCCAATATGACACCATTGATTAAAAAAAATGAAGTAAAATCTTAAGAATTCATCAAGAACCTATACAAATTATTTCATGGATGATTTACGGAAAGAAATACATATTTGGTGTGAAGATGAACATATCCATCAATATGAGAAACCTCACATACCTTGAAAGAACCACGTTGTTGACAATTTCCCCAAAAACCTTGAAGAACTTCTTGACCCCTTTTCCTTTTGAGCTTTCCCTAACTTGCTTAAACATTTTTTTTTGAGAGATTAAAAACTGAAATCAATCCGCTTAGATCTCTATTTGGGCGAGTCAAAATGTGTGGGCTTAACGGGGTAAGGAAAATACCAAAATATCCCTCCTTTAAATGGATAAACAGTTATATCTAGAGAGGTTGTACTCAAATGGGCATATCTCCTTCATCCAAACTCAGAATTTAGCAAATTCAGTGGCGTTGGAAAGAGGACTCAACGACCTTTGATTTGATACCTCATGATCCACGTAAAACATCATGTGCTAAAAGTTATGATCGTTTGAAGTTCACCCAAAACTTACAAACTTGCATGACACTAAATTTGGTTCTTTCTAAGCCCAAGGTATTAATTATTACATGTTTAATCTTCAAGATCACTATTAGAATATTCTTCCATTTTTTACCCATCATTTAGGTTTTCTATGTAGTGAGTTCAAGAAACGCGGGGGAGAGAGGAGGGGGGGGGGGGGATACTTAATGAAAAGGGCTTCTAGTAAAAATAAATAGAAAAGAGATTAACTTTTGTAAATTAAATGAAAAAGGGGTTGATATATTCTCAACTTGTGATTTAGAATTGACATATTATCCTCGTTACATAATTGGCTCAACATACCTTATCATTGTAAAATTGGCTTTCATACACTCATACAATTATAAAAACATATCACATATATTCCTATCAACTAATGGAAGTAAAAATATTAATTTTAAATCTATATATTAAAAATATTTTTGTAGGGGTATATGTCATTCTTCTAACAAATTTTAAGGTATAGTTGATTTATTTCACACATGATTTTTTTTTATATTTCTTTGTTTCAATGACTAATTTAATTTTTAAATATCCTCATAGATCATTATGTTTATCATTATTTGAATTTCTTATTCTTAATTTCTAATAAATATTGCTCATTTTTAGTCTAAAATATGAGAAAATAATTTTTTTTAAAGAAAAGTGAATAGAAAGAGATAAGATTAAAGGAGACAAAAAAGTAAGAAAAACTTTTAAAAAAATTATTTGTGGTTATATTATAATTTATTTTTGTATCTATGATTAAAAAAGTTAAAAAAAAACAAGTGAAAAAAAATAATTTCACAATCAAAATAATAAATTCAAAAAATAATAATAATTTACTAAAAGGGATACATCTGGTCTATATTGGGTCATTATACCAAAAGGATATATTTGATCATTGTATAACGATGAAGCTATATATATGTGAGCTATTTTTATAATAGGAAATATATTAGCTAGATTATGAAGGGTATATTAGCCCCTTTTCTTTTTATTTTTTTAAAAATCTTTTTGATGCTTTTCATGATTCAAACGAACTTTTGGTGTAAAATATTTCAAGTTAATGTTTTTTTTTTCATTTATCGAAGATTAGGTAAACAAATTACATATTTTCCACTTCTATATCACAAGGTATATGAGATAATGAGATATTGACATATTAATAATATTAACAAGCCTTCCAATTTCCAAACAAAACCTTTTTGCTGACGGATTAGTAATAAGACTTAAATTTATTGTTATATGTTCTTAGATGTAGATATCTTTTTAGTCATTTAATTAATCACATACAACTAATTATTTGAATGGTTAGAATTTAAAGGGTTTTTAGTGCGTCATTTTGAGAAAGCATGCCGTCCTTGAGATTTTTAATTGAAGATTTTAGTTTATCTAATCAAATTCAAACCCTTTGAAAGTGCCATATCTAACTTCAATTTCACTAAAATATTATGTTGTAGTAACCATTTTCCTACGTACGTTCTTGGTTTTACTTTTTCTATTTTCAAAGTGGGATCAAAATATTGTACTTGATTACTTTGGGGAAAAGAAAAAAAATCAAAACTATGTGATCCAATCTTCTAGAATCTGAAATACATCCCAACGAAAGGAAAATAAAAAACTTTAAACGATCGATGGAGACCAATGGCAATTCAGAAAGTCGAATTTCACCACAACTTCGAAAGAGAAAAATCTGTCGGATTCAGTCAACTGCAATGAGGATCACCCTGACTAGGATCTGCATCAAAGGGATATCAAAAGTAGGGGTGAATACAATCCACGTATATACTCAATAGGTTAGACCAATTGAGTATAAGCAACTAAACAGACTTTAGAAATAAACTACGAAATATTTTCACCTGCACGCTATAAAAGTCTCATTCCGACATAGTCAATGCATCCAATTAATATAAAATGGTGGGAATAAAGTACACACATAAGTTTACATACAATATTTAAATCAACAAATAAACAAGCTACACATAAACAAGTTACACAACACAACAAAACTGGTTAATGCGATGCAATGAGATGATGAAATGATGGAATGATGTTGTGATACCAAGATCGTCGCACTTTTTGTCCTATACACCTTTTCAAGCATTTAGCTTCTAGATAAGGACCCTCGACCACAATCCATATACCAATCTCATTATCTTTATATCTCATCAACTTGTCACCTAACTCATGATCAAGGATATAAGTAAGGTATCACATTTTCTTTCAAAAAAATGTATGTAGTATTTCTCTACTTTCTCATATTTTCCAACAATGATATGTTGCATGAAGATAAAAGCATCACAACACACATACAACACAAGACATAATCAGTTAATCGAGGGTTTCAAATAGTATCAAGTTTGTAAGTCAACAAATCGTGAAACATATTCTCAGATGATATAAATAGTGGACGAAACTATTTGAAATCTTTACCACTTAGAAATCATTTCTTTTAATTTAAGATGCTCAAAAATTAACTCAAACCCCTAAGTCGAACATCTCGTTGTCAAATATAAAGATAGTTCACACAACCCTTCACTCGAGCAATTACTCAACATCACATAATTTTTGCAATAATTATAGATATCACTCAAGTCTACACACAAGTTAAGTATCACAGATAGCATCATACGAACTAAACAAGGAGGTCAACAATATTAATCAACTTCTAAGACTCATTTTATAGTTCACTTCCTTAGAAAGGCTAATTACTCATCTCAGTCTAAAAGAGGAATGGTCAAACTACCTTAATGTCGAAAATCACTCGAAATAATTTATTGGAGGACTTCCTCAACCGCACAATCATCGAAACAATCTCAACTATTAAGAATGAAAGAGTTCATCAAAAAAATTCTAATCATATTAGTAGGATTTGAAATCAGAGGGATAAAATAGTCAAATAAGTACTTCAAAAAATCAAAGGACAAAATCATATTTATCTTGTTGAAAATCAAGTTCTATAAGTTAAGGTGTCTTTTTTAAAAATTCGAAACAACTTCAGTGGTGCTTTTATGTCTTTTCTCTAAAGTTAATGAATAGTTTATCATGTTGTGTCTATTTTATCATTGCTATTAAATACTATTTATTTTTCAATGTTTAAAATGACTAAAATTTAACTAGGATGATTTGATAAAATTACCCCTATCATATACTGATCCTTCATCCATATATGGCTGTGTCAAATCAATAGCAGACTCCATTGTTAAACAGAGAGATTACAAAACACATTTTATGGAAAGGAAAATTCACATAATCGTAATTTTTTCTGATATATAAAAAATATTTAATGAAAAGAAAATTCACATAATCGTATTAAGATATTAGAGATACTTTTTTTATGAGAAAATTTGATCTAGGACTCCCCAATCGGCCACCCAAAATAAGAACGCAATCATACTAAGATTAATTTAAATGACGTGTGAAATGAAACCAATCATATTCATTTGACTTTGCAATTTCTCCAAATTTAATCATTCATTTGCAATAAATAATCATAAAAAAATCTTATTGGGCCATTAAAGAGTGACATTCTCCAAGTAATAATTATGAACATAATTTTGAATTTATTAATAATAAATATCTTATCAATGTTAAAAATTTGTATTATGTTCACCACTAAGTAAAAGATTGATGGTGAAAACGTTGAGCCGGACAAGCCGGCAAGGCTAAGTGACATCCATGACATAGTCCCCCACACAATACCTTTCAACTAAGTATTTTTTTAAATTTATTTTATTAAATCTCTAAACAAGAAATGATGTTGAAGTCACTTGAAACAATTAACAAGGCTAGAAATGCATTAAATTAAATATGGTGTAGAATAATGTTAAATAAAGTGTATTAGTTCTGTTTATATAATTGTATTAGTTATACATAAATTATTTGTTATTTATTATTTGGTTTGATCAGTGGCAGAGCCACCTTACAGTTAGGGGATTTCGTTCGAACCTCCTTCGAAGAAAAAATATATTATTTATATATAGTTAAAATAATTTTTTAGTTATATATAATAGATGTCGAATTCTCATCGACTACTTCGTGCGTCTAATTTTCTAGATTTTGAACCTCTATGTTAAAAATTCTGATTCTGTCACTGAGTTTGGCGTATTAAAAATAGTGTGCACTGTATAATTTTTTTAAAAAAATATTTTTACAAAGATATACGCCACAAATATGATGAAAATTAAAGATGTTAAAATAGGTTTTAAGGGCAATTGAGTCATAAATGATGTTAATTAATGCATTAAAATCTTTATATTAATTAATTCTTGTATTAAATTCTTTTTAATACATTCTACCTAACAATAACTTACACATTTTGCTAGTGCATTTTTCAAGGAGGTAAGCACTTCAAAAGCTGTTCTATTGACACTTCATAGATTGATGACTATGATAACAGTAAAATTACTTGTATTGTCAACTACTTAATCATATAATTATTTGTTATGTATTCATGATTCATCCCTTGATTATGGAAAATATTTTTCTCCAAGACGGAACACATCCTTCACATTGTTGGAATAAATCAATGCAAAGATATACATTTTAAATATGACAGTAATATTCTCGATTTTCATTGCTATAATATTATATGTAGCTTCTCATTCATTTCAACAATTGATACAAGACTTTGTTTGCACACCTAACAATCTCCTAATCTCCCGAACTAAGTTATATCATCTCCTATCATCACTGAATCTGATATCAATTGTTAGGCTAAATCAATTTAAAGATACAATTATCATACCATGTTATTGGTTATTTTCGACTAATCCTACGCAATTTCTCCAAAAAGAGTTCACATTACTTTGATTATTTTAATTTGTACGCGTTTTATATATAGCTTTTCAATCTTTTCACATTATTTTTGACGCCACACCAAAGTTATTAGTTAAGTTACCTTATCATGATCACAAGTGTGAAGTTAATAGTGGACTCAAACTATTATTCAATGGCTTATTACAAACAAATTTTTATGTCATTTAGCTTTTAAAATAACATCTTGTAACTGAGCTTTCAAATTGATGATTTCCAAGTTAATTGGATCTAAGTAATTACTTTATTAAATTGTTGTTATGTGCTATGTTTTATTGCTCAAATTTGTCTTC